GCAGCTTTGCCATCATTTATTGTTCTACCTTATTTGTGCTTTTAAAATTGTATTGCAAGGACAAATGGAATAGAACAAAAGAGGAATATGACCAGTAATTCAACCCATGRGTAGGGAATTATCTAATGCTTATTAACGCCTAGCTATTTTTATTCAGTGTGTAGGTTCTACGTAAAATGTTTTAAACCAATATTCAAATTAAAATATTGTATATATTTTTAATTTATTTCTCTTTTTAATATACATTCAGAGAGAAGGGAGTGGCATGTCTTGGTGATAGGACTGATATCAGATCTTCATCAGAGACAGACATGCTCTCATTCATCTTAGCAGCCGTTTTTATCAGTCCCATCAACTCTCCTCTCCTCTGCTCCCTCTCAGTCCTCTTCCTGTTTTTGTCCTTTTATATGTGAACCTCTTCAGACACACCGAGGTTAGAGAGAGAGGTACAGCAAAACATTTCCTTGCTTTTTGAAAGTCATGGTCTTCTTGTAAAATGGCTGTTTGCTCGTGTTGTACCTTGACAGCRTCTTATAATCTAAATAACAAAAATACTTCAAATCCTAGCAGAAACCAAATACTTTAACATATCTGGGCTTAGGCCCGGTTCTGTATGAATTTGAAGACTTTGGTTTGGATTAAGGTCTGTAATATGACAGTATTTTTAAACCAGCCCAACCATGTGAATATTCCTAAAGCTTTAGGCATCTTGAGACATACTTGTCAAGCTGAAAGACTTCTTAGTTCTTGTTGAAACATAGGCTTACTTTGATGTCTAATATTGTGATTGCTATACAATATTGCCATGCCATATGCCAGTTCATAAACTAAAACTAATATGAATGCTGTCTGTATTTAATTCAGAATGATGGTTTGGCCTGTCATTTTATGGAAATCTACTTACTGAAAGCTGTTTTAGTGTTTGTTAATGTCAATTAGCAATAGCACCCATGTTAATTTGACTCCAAGAGTTTTCAAACATCAAATAATTGCTTTTTGAGTTTCATTAAAACCTGTTTACTGGTTTATGAGATTTATTTTGCTAAGACAACAAACATGCAAACACAGGCAAAACATTATTCCCTGTCTTTTGGCAACAGGTGGTTACAATGTAGCAGATGCCAATAGTAAGTAAGTAAAACTTTATTTATGTAATGTAGCACCTTTCAAGATAAGAATCACAAAGTGCTTCAACAAACACAAGAAATACTCAAAGCAGATTTAAACAGAAACAGATTAAAAAAGATAAGTTTTTAGCTGGGCTTTAAAAGAGGCCACAGATTCTGCTGATCTTAAATTCAGAGGAAGAGAGTTCCAAAGTCTTGGAGCCACAGAACAAAAAGCTCTGTCTCTTCTTGTCTTCAGTTTTGTATGGTGAACAATCATCATGTTTTTAATCAAAGGACCTCAAAGTCCTGAGGGGAGTTTAGGAATGTAAATGTTCAGAGATGTAGTGTGGTGTCTGTCCATGCAGAGCTCACCAAGTCAAAACCAAAATCTTGAAATGCACTCGATAATGAACCGAGAGCCAATGAAGTTGCATTAACAGTGGAGTTACATGACAAAACTTTGAAGAGCCAGTCAGGAGCCTGACAGCAGCATTCTGCACAGACTGCAACCGGTCGAGAGGTTTTAGTTAGGCACGTATGGAATACATTACAATAYTCTTAATCATGGTGGAAACGAGCTTAGTTAGCTCAAGCAGGGAGACAGGCAGGAAACAATCGAAACTCACAGGCCGAGTTACAGTGTAGGAGGAGAAATATTGATTCTCACCTTTCTAACTTCATTTATAAAGCAAGAGAGACAAATTTGGCAACCCTAATTGTATCGAAAAACAATTTAGAGTTACCTTTGCTCCTAGCAATCAACTTTGTAAAATAGGTTGCCCTTCCTTCTTTAAATGCATTATTATAAGAAGCTAAAACATTCTTTAAGAACAACAGATACACCTGCAAATTTGCTTTCTTTCACAAACGTTCAATCTTTCTGCAGTAACGTTTTAAGCAGCAAGTGCTATCATTTAGGAGTTGATAATAAATTACTAAAATCCTTTAAGAAAGTACCATTTGGACCTGGACAGTAAACCACAGCACAGTAAAATGGGTCCGTTTCCTCAGTTTTTATCAGTTGCAACTTGAACAACGCAAAACCTCCATTATTAGATGTGCGGCTGGAAGACCCACATCTGAACATGGTTGCAAAGCCTCCTCTAATTCCTGACAGTCTAGGCTGGCTGATAAGAGTAGCCATTTGGACAAAGTTCCACAAGTGGATCAGTATATACAGGTGCTGGTCATAAAATTAGAATATCATGAAAAAGTAGATTTATTTCAGTAATTCCATTTAAAAAGTGAAACTTGTATATTATATTCATACATTACATACAAACTCATATATTTCAAATGTTTATTTCATTTAATTTTGATGATTACAAATGACAACAAATGAAAATCTCAAATTCAGCATATCAGAAAATTAGAATCTTGTGAAAAGGTTCAAAATGGATGGCACCTGGTACCACACTCTAATCAGCTAATTAACTCAAACCACCTGCAAAGGCCTTTAAATGGTCTTTCAGTCTAGTTCTATAGGCTACACAATCATGGGGAAGACTGCTGACTTGACAGTTGTCCAAAAGACGACCATCGACACCTTGCACAAGGAGGGCAAGACACAAAAGATCATCGCTAAAGAGGCTGGCTGTTCACAGAGCTCTGTGTCCAAGCACATTAATATAGAGGCGAAGGGAAGGAAAAGATGTGGTCGAAAAAAATGTACAAGCAAGAGAGATAACCGCACCCTGGAGAGGATTGTGAAACAAAACCCATTCAAAAATGTGGGGGAGATTCACAAAGAGTGGACTGCAGCTGGAGTGAGTGCTTCAAGAACCACCACACACAGARGTATGAAAGACATGGGTTTCTGCTGTCGCATTCCTTGTGTCAAGCCACTCTTGAACCACAGACAGCGTCAGAAGCGTCTTGCCTGGGCTACAGAGAAACAGGACTGGACTGCTGGTGAGTGGTCCAAAGTCATGTTCTCTGATGAAAGTAAATTTTGCATTTCCTTTGGAAATCAAGGTCCCAGAGTCTGGAGGAAAAGAAGAGAGGCACTTCATCCACGTTGCTTGAAGTCCAGTGTAAAGTTTCCACAGTCAGTGATGGTTTGGGGTGCCATGTCATCTGCTGGTGTTGGTCCATTGTGTTTTCTGAGGTCCAGGGTCAACGCAGCCACATACCAGGAAGTTTTAGAGCACTTCATGCTTCCTGCTGCTGACCAACTTTTTGGAGATGCAGATTTCATTTTCCAACAGGACTTGGCACCTGCACACAGTGCCAAAGCTACCAGTACCTGGTTGAAGGACCATGGTATCCCTGTTCTTAATTGGCCAGCAAACTCTCCTGACCTTAACCCCATAGAAAATCTATGGGGTATTGTGAAGAAGAAGATGCAATACACCAGACCCAACAATTCAGAAGAGCTAAAAGCCACTATTAGAGCAACCTGGGCTATCATAACACCTGAGCAGTGCCACAGACTGATCGACTCCATGTCACGCCGCATTGCTGCAGTAATACAGGCCAAAGGAGCCCCAACTAAATACTGAGTGCTGTACATGCTCATACTTTTCATGTTCATAATTTTCAGTTGGCCAACATTTCTATAAATCCTTTGTTTTTATTGGTCTTCAGTAATATTCTAATTTTCTGATATGCTGAATTTGAGATTTTCATTTGTTGTCATTTGTAATCATCAAAATTAAARGAAATAAACATTTGAAATATATGAGTTTGTATGTAATGTATGAATATAATATACAAGTTTCACTTTTTAAATGGAATTACTGAAATAAATCTACTTTTTCATGATATTCTAATTTTATGACCAGCACCTGTATGTACTGTACTTTCTCCATTTATGGGAAAACTACTTTTGTAGTTTCAGGTATATTTTCTGTCAATTTGTTTGAGTTTGGATTTAAASACAATGTTGATTTTTTAAAAGTGTAAAAACAAAATACAATACTGACCTCAGTTTTTCATAGAGAAAAAACATTGGCTATCTAAAAGTGCTTGGAATTCAATACTGTAACATCTAGGGCCACAAATGAATAGTGGGGAAATGGTTTAAAGCACATCTTGATGAGATGAGTTTTCAATTTGCAGCTGAAGATTGGAAATGACTGCATTCCTGTCTGCAGTGGGAAAACCATTCCACTAATTCAGAAACTGTGATGCAAAGACCAAGATTCATTTGGTTTTACTTTTTGAACTGGTGAACAACATATGTATATTAAAAAAAAAAACAGAAACAGGCTGGCATTAGGCTGTTTAATAAAGGTTTTTTTAGAAGCTTGTGGAGATACAGGTCCAATTTTACTGCTAAAAATTGTACTTTATCAGTGCAGTTTTTCTTTTCTTTATTAATTAATTTAGTTATGTGTTTTTGTCAAGTTGTTTGCAATTAAAGTCTGATTCTGTACACAGATGAATATAGATACTGTCATTATGGAGAAGTAATTTATTCTAAATTATAATCTGAAAAAATACTGGCTGATAAAAACAAAACAACTTTGTGTTTGGGACCTAAAAGCAGGTAATCAGTGTTTTATCGCAATGCATAGATTTGTGTCCCACATTATTGATTTCTGAATTACAGAAAAAAAAGATGTATCATCTTTTAAGCAGCCAATAAAAATAAATTGGCTCAAGTTATACATGCTCATGGGTATTTGCCTCTTCTTTTTGTCATTTGAGCTCTAACTGTGCATTAAGCTTTGATGGGTTCAGAAAGAATTAGGAAGTTTTAGATTTGAGATAACATACTGACGAAATGGAAGCGTAGCAATGTGAGTGCTGTGGTGGAAACACCCACTGAGTGCCTACTGGATGAGATGATTAATACACTCTAATATTTTACCAGCAAAACTGCTCAGAGGAATAATCCGTTTACCATAGCTCTGACTTTGTGTGTGTGTGTGTTACCATCCATTCCAGTGGAGTTCAGGAAATTGGACCTTGCTTCTCTGCAGTCTGTCCGTCAGTTTGCCCAGAGCTTCAAGGAGAGGGATCTGCCACTAAATATTTTGGTAAACAATGGTGAGTAAGGTAAAAAATGGGTTTCTAATGTACTGCTCGTGCATGTAAAATAACTTGATGTCTTATAGCACAGTATAATTTTAAGGCTTTTTAGTGACAGCACCAACCTTACACTGCTGTGCTGAGGATTTGGGACATTAAATTCAGCTCCAGACCTACTGAGAAATACTTTACATTACTACATAGAAACTGGATTTAAGTACTTCTTTCTCTGTACTGGCAACATGATTTCTTAGTGGTTAACACTGATTGCCTCACAGCAAGAAGGTCCTGGGTTTGATCCCCAGTTCAGACTCAGAGTCGTTCTGTGGGGCGTGTACATGTTCTACTTGTGCTTGTGTGGGTTTTCTTCATTGATTGCAATAGCAGGTTTTTGTATATTATCATAAAAATATTTGGTTTGGTAAAGCCAAGAAGCAGCTTTGAAATAATTTAGGATGACCTCTCGTTTAGATCTGTAGAATTTTAGTTGAAACTCGGCAGAAGTGAAGCGAAAACCTCATCAAATATCAAGTAGTTGTTTGCTCTTGTCCTGCTGAATTGGATTTGACAATAGAGCAAATGATATGAAGGTAGAGCAGGACTGTCTCTTTGTCTCAGCCCTGGAGGTAATGAATGTTTTGTCTTTATTGCAAAAGGTCTTTGTGCCAATTGGCTCTTGGTATGTTGCCAGTAACAGTGAGTGTCTGCTGCTCTTGTTTGGTGTCGAACACTATCAGCCACTCTAAATGCCTTGGCATTTTTAAATCAACATCAAGTGGGTCAGCGAATGAGATCACTAAAGAAATACAGTATGTGCAGTATGAGGTGGTGGAAATAACTGAAAGCAAACAGCTGATCAAAGTGTCTCACACAATCTCCTTATTTTGATATACCTCTCCATTTCACCTCAGCTACGTCTTCAATTACAATCAAAAACTACTGGTCTATGTTTCAGGTAATAGGATGTGGTTTTTGTACCACAATTTGATGCCTTTTTTTAAGTATATTGTCCAGACTTTTGGAAATACATGGAGACACAGTAGCAGGGCTTTCATCTTGTCTCGTCTGTTTGGTTTATTTGAGACTTATTGCTAAAGTAGGCCACTCACTGCCAAAGTTACACCAGAGCCACTGTATATCATWGTTCTGTTATAGCTTTCTGAACTTCAAAATAAAACGAAAGTTACGTATGTAACTACGGTTCTATGAATCCTGAAAGACCGCCAGAGGGCGGTGCTAAAAGCACTGAATGCTCCCTTCACGCAAGCGCCGTTCGAGCTGTAATACCAACAGAGTGACACCTGAGACCAATCGGATGACTAATCAGAGGCTATATAGCGTGACGTCATCTGAAGCTCTGTTCCTACAGAATCTTCTCGCAAATGCAAGGATTCTGAGTGACAGAGAAGCTCTGGTGGTCATTCAGGATTCATAGAACCGTAGTTACATACATAACTTTTGTTCTATTTCATCCCTACTGACCGCCAGATGGTGGTGCTAAAAGCACTGAATGACTAATACCAGTGATGTCACAAGGAATCCTGAGCACCTACCTCACTGAGAAGGCCCAGAGGACCCTTGTAAAAGAACCTGTCCCAAAGGGTGAGGAGAAGCCACATTCACATTATAAAATCTAGTGAATATGCTTGAAGAAGACCATGATGCCGCAGCGCATATTGTTTCCAGTGGGACCCCTTTCAGGGCCGCCCAGGAAGTGGAAATGCTCCTGGTTGAGTGTGCCTTCACCCCGACCGGCAGGGAACAGCATCCTGCCCTGTAGGCAGATGACATCCACAATCCAGTGGGAGAGACACTGTTTTGAAAGGGGATGGCCTAATCTAGAGCCTCCATAACATAAGAACAGCTGGTCTGAGCATCTTGTAGGAGCAGCAGCAGCAATATATGTCTCCAACGTCCTCACTGGGCACAATATGTCAGGCCTATCGCCAGTCCCTCCTGACGTAGGCTGAAAACGCGCCAATCTCAGTGGCTGGTTACAATGGGAATGCGAAAAAACTTTAGGGACGATTGCAGTGTTTGGCCACAAGGTAACACCAGAGCCATCTGGGGCCCATTTGAGACATGACGGGCTGGCAGAGAGAGATGCAGCTCGCCGACCCTTTTAGCTGAGACAATAGCTAATAAAAATGCTGTCTTACATGAGAGCCACTTGAGGTCAGCCTGAAGCAAAGGCTGAAAGGGAGCGTGGCACAGGGCTTCGAGGACCAAGGGCAGATCCCAAGCAGGTGCCCGCAGAACATTTGGCGGTGCAACCTGCGAGCGCCACGCAGAAAAAGAGAAACCAGGTTATGGCTTCCAACTGTACCACCATCAACGACAGCATGATTAGATGATATTGCTGCCACATATACCTTAAGTGTTGATGGAGAGCGGCCCTTATCGAGGAGAGATTGAAGAAACTCCAGGATAGTGGGCACCACACAGGAGACTGGATCCTCATCGCGGTCAGCACACCACTGAGAAAACAAACGCCACCTTTTTTCATATTGCTGACAAGTAGAATGTGCCCTAGCACTTAAAATAGTGTACCGGACAGAGTCTGAATATCCAGTCAGCTACTGCTCAAGCCTCCCAGTGGCCACACCCACAGCCTGAGGCATTGAGGATTGGGGTGCCAGATGAGTCCCCCTAACTGAGACAATAGGTCCCTCCTGGTTGGAAGACACCATGGGGCGTCTTGACACAGACTCCGTAGAAGTGGGAACCATGGTCGTGCTGGCCAATACGGAGCTATCAGCAGCACCCTGTGGCCCTCTTCGAGAACTCTCTGAAGAGTCGGCCAAATCAGAGAAAGGGGAAAGGGATGTGCCAAGGCGTCCTGGTCCAGTGCGCCTGATGCCCCCTTAAGGGAATACCCACAGAGGGCAATGAGTCGACTCTTCTGTGGCAAACAGGTCTACTTCTGCCTGACCGTAGAGATCCCATATCATGCGCACTATGTCGCTGTGGAGAGACCAGTCTTCTGGAGCAGGTGCCTGCCGAGAAAGGGAGTCTGCGGTCCGGTTGTCCTGCCCTGGTATGTACACTGCCCGCAGAGTGGACAGGCGAGGGGAGGCCCATCTCAGGAGATCCCTGGCCACCTTCAGGAGCTGTGCCGACCTGGTGCCACCCTGATGGTTGATGTGGTAGACCACAGAGGTGTTGTCTGATCAAACCAGGACATGTTTCCCCTCCAGGTGGGGCAAGAAGTGCCTGAGAGCTAGAAACACAGCACTTAGCTCCAGCACATTTATGTGTCTGGAGCGATTCTGGTGACTCCAGTGGCCCCGAATCGCTCTGTGCTGCCACACAGCCCCCCATCCCATGGAGATGGCATCTGTCGTGACCACCTCCCTGCGACACACAACCATCCCCATAGGGGCACCTTTGGACAAATAAGCTCTGTCCCTCCATGTGGGGCAGCTGTGGCGGAGTGGTTAGGGGAGTCGTCCTGGAATCAGAAGGTCACTGGTTCGATCCCTCGTCCAGCCATCTCAGTCGTTGTGTCCTTGGGCAAGACACTTCACCCACCTTGCCTACTGATGGTGGTCAGAGGGTCCGGTGGCGCCGATGCATGGCAGCCCCACCTCTGTCAGTGCGCCCCAGGGCAGCTGTGGCTACAGTGTAGTTTGCCATCATCAGTGTGTGAATGTGAGTGTGAATGGGTGAATGTCTGTTAGTGTAAAGCGCTTTGGGGGTCCGGAGGGACTTGAAAAGCGCTCTATAAGTTCAGTACCATTTACCATTTATGTGTCCAGGGTATGCAGACAAGATCTCGTCACCACAATTTTGCGATGCTTGTGAAGCCTGGCATCCAGATGAAAACCATTGAGCCACATTTGAAATGGGCGCAGTGACAGCAGACCTAAGGGCACGACCCGGGTGAGTGAGGTCAGTTTGCCTAGCAGCTGCAGGGAGGTAATGTAAGGAAGCCGCCTGCCCAGCCTGAATTGACTGATGTGCCGGAGAACATAATCCACCCTTTGAACAGACGGGTAGGCTGTCATGGAGGGTGAGTCCAAGAACACCCCAAGAAAAGTTGTTGCCTGCGATGGAATCAGGCAGCTCTTTGCTAAGTTGACCTTGAGGCCTAACCGGGACARGTGGGCAAGCAGGCGACTTGTATTGCGAGACACACAAGCTTGAGATGGGGCGCAGAGAAGCCATTCGTTGGGATTATGGGAGAACRTTCACTCCACAAGCCTGCAGAGGGGAGAGAGCTGCCTTCACTCACCGAGTGAAGACCCTCGGAGAAAGCGAGAGCCCGAATGGGAGAACCCGGAACTACCAGTGGTGACCCCGATATGCAAACCTGAGAAAGCGGCGATGTTCTGGCGCAATGGGTTCATGGAATTACGCATCTGTCAGGTCTACTGATGTGAACCACTGTCCCCTTGCAATACCCTGCAGGACCTCTGACCCCTGAGGTCCAGAATGGGACGAAATCCACCCGTCTTCTTCGGRACAAGAAAATATGTTGAATAAAAACCTCTGGGTTGCTGCAGAGGATCCACCGCCTCGATCGCACCCTTGGCCAGGAGGGTGGAAAGCTCCTGGTCCAGGGCATGAGCTTTCATCGGGTCGGCGATGACAGTCTCTCTTACCCSGTGTGATATGTGAGGCCGCCGTCGGAACTGTAACCGGTAACCATGGGTCAGAGTGGCAACCACCCATGGGTCCACYGTTTGAGCAGCCCAACAACTGAGCTGCTGATGAGAAAAGTATCCAACGGCRGGCCTGGTGGCATCACTTCCTCTCCCCACGGCCCCTAGGGGGCCTGGGGGGATGGTGGTGACGACCAAAAGCTGTGGCCTGGGCCTGTCTGGTTGGCTGGGGAGCTGGCTCACGAAAGTCCCTGCTGGGTCTCCGTTGCGCAGCACGAGATAAGGACCTATAGGTCGATCGAAACCCCGAGGTGGTGGCCAAGAGTTGGGGCCAGCTGATGGACGCCTCAGGTTACGAGGAGATGGAGGCACACTCCTATTAAGGCCTGAAAGCTGCTGCCTAGTCTGTTGCGCCTGGACAGTACGTTCCAGGGCTTCCACTGCCGCAGAACCAAACAACTCCCCTGGCACCACAGGAACATTACTGAGGGTCCTACGGCATGTCTCAGTAAACGTGGACTGAGCCAGCCAGACCTGTCTGCGAGCCTGAAACAGGTAGGACATCACACGTCAAAGCTCCCTTGTCATAAGTGCAAAGGCCTGAAGCGTTGCATCACTAAAGCCAGTGGCGGTGTTTGTCCCATTAGCATCCTGGAGGGATGCGGAAAGGGCAAACATGGGGCCCGCCCTCTTCTGAAAAAGGCACTTGCAGGGGTGGACTCCTCCACCTTCGGAACATCTAGCTGTAACTGATTTAGAGCCAGACGCATAATATCCTGCATAGAGCCATCACCTGATGCACTAGAAGCACCCTGAGACGAGGAGCGTGAGCCCGTCTCCGAAGCGTGGGACGACTGTGCCCCCTCCTCACTTCTAAAGTGAGAGGCAGAGGCTGCCAAAGACGGCATGTCCTCCTCCCTAGTCAACTCAGGCATGGTTGGGGACCCTGTTGGTCCACCCAGCTGGTGTATCTGAAAAAGAGATTTCATTTCTGCCAACTCTGCAGACAGCTGTGCAACCTGCCTGGAAAGGCCCTGATCAGGTTTGACCCGCCTCTTTTTAGAAGGGGCGACAGCGACTGTGGCAGTCCTGTGCTTAGAGCGCCTAGGCGCGGCCACCTGACCAGAAGGGGGAAGACTAGCATCATGCTCGGGGTCCAATTGGGCCAGCCGAGCCACTCTCACTGCACGGGGCGTATAACTGCAATTCATGCAAGGGTTCTCGGTCAGGGCCTCCACCAGGTGGTCATTACCTAATTTCCCTCTGGGCTCAATAAAGTATTTTTGAATTGAATTGAATTGAATGTCCGAGGCAGACAGGGCACAGATTGTGGCCATCCTCTGCCTCAAGCCCAGCTCCACAACTCGCACAACAGTGGGAGCTGTCCATGCTCACAAAATAAATAAGGACTCAGAAAGGCTAACACCGTTAGCTCAATAACAAGCCTCGAGGCTGAATAAGTTGGGAGAGGGGACGAAAACGTTGCCGTCACCAACCAATTCACGCACTAACTCAAAAAGGCTAACCCCGTTAGCTCAAGTAACAAGAACTGAGGCTGAATAAGTTGGGAGCGGGGGCGAAAACGCTGCCTTCACCAACAAATTCACACATTAACTTAAGAAGGCTAACACCGTTAGCTCAACTAATCAAAACTCAAGCTGAATAAGTTGGGAGAGGGGACGAGAACGCTACCATTCACCAACAAATTCACTCATCAAACAGCAACAGCGATAAGAAAAAGAAACGCTGCAAGTTGGGGAACCAGGCGAAAAATGCCGTCACCCCAACAAAACAGCGGATACCTCTTTGTTTTGAAGACAAGTCCGTTGCAGCCACTTGGAGGGCGATACACCGCTACTCCAGCCAACTGGCAATCGGGACGTCCAAACGATGGCGAAATATTCCACAAGAGAAACTAACCGTATGCGAGAAGAAAAGAGGAACAGAGCTTCGAATGACGTCAAGCTTTATAGCCTCTGATTAGTCATCCGATTGGTCACAGGTGTGACTCTGTTGGTATTACAGCTTGAACGGCGCATGCGCGAAGGGAACATTCAGTGCTTTTAGCACCGCCCTCTGGCGGTCAGTAGGGATGAAATAGAACTCTATGCATACATTTTCATTCATTTGTGTTCATCTTGTTCTTGTGTGGTCATGTTGGTTTGTGTTTAAGCGGCTGTCATGCTCGTACCTGAGGGGCGGACAGAAGATGGATTTGAGCAGCACTTCGGTGTGAACTACCTAGGCCACTTTCTGTTGACCTGGCTTCTCTTGGATACACTGAAGGAATCTGGGAGGTGTGGTCCTGTCTCTTCTGTGGTCAACGTTACATCCTCAGCTCATTGCATCGGGGAGATCATACTGAATGACCTAAACTGCTGGTAGGTACATACTCAGATGTTAGGATACACTGACACTGAAAATAACTAAAATTGAAAAGGGTTACTTTGAATATAAATTGAGTGTTTCTGAATTTGTTAGGTTTTGCTTACAAAGAAAGGTATTTGTTATATGTATAGATGTTTTTTTAATGACCAAAACAAAGCTGAGCTGCATACTCAAGCTTTCTGTTGAAATCTAACACACTGTTTATTTTTTTTCCTCAGCAAACATTATTCGGCTCATGCTGCATATTGCAACAGTAAGCTGGCCCAGCTGTTTTTCAGTACCCACTTTCATCAGGAGATGCAGCATGGACGTGTTCCAGTAGTTTCATGCGCTGTGGATCCTGGCATGGTGGACACTGCTCTATATTGCCATCTCTGGAAGCCTCTCCGTATGGCACAAAGTCTAATCGCTCGCTTGCTTTTTAGGGTAAAGACCTGCTCACTTTGGTCTATTTTATCTATGCAAATTTTTTTAAGTTGCTCAGAGCTTAGTGATAAGGATATGACATAATTTTTCAAAGCACAACTCAAGTTTTTAGGAATTGTTTTTTTACAGATTTATTATACTCATTTTGTAAAGTAGGGATGCACTGATACCGGTATTGGGTATTGGTTATGGAGCCCAATACCAGCATTTTTACAAGTACTCAAACTAGTTCAAAATGCCCCATTACCAGGAACAGAAACAATTTCTTTTTTTTTCCATGGACATTCACATTTTAAATGCAACCTCCATTAGACTCCAGTGTGAATGCTTTAGGCCGTCGATGCGACAAACATGCACAAAAGATGACGTGGCATCATATTCAGCTTGCTCTTTACAGGACGAGACAGGTTGATGCTACTAGTTAGCAATGGTGGGCACTAGTCCCCTAAAGCTCTAGCACTAATTGCGGACCTAAATTTCTTGTTTGAATTTTAGGGGTTTTACTAAATTTATTAAATGGTGTGAGGATTTGCGTTTTCTAAATTAAAAAAATTTAGTAGCACTAAGTAAATTATTATTAACAGCGGAGGGAGAAAGCTGTTTTAAGTCAATACAATGCATTGTAACTTAACACTACCCTCTCAGATAACAGTTTGTTCCCAGAGGATATGCTCCAGCTGACTGTTCTTCTGGGTCACGGTTTTCATTTTAGAAAAAAATTCCCACAGTTCTTTGCATTTACGTGGCAGGAAGCAATTGGAGCTACGTCACTGGGCGACACAGTCCCAGCCTTTCTCCACCAGCATGCCTGTTACGGTTCTGATTAGTTTGGCTTCTGCCGAATGTATCTATTACTTGGGCTTCCTCCTGAAGAAAACCTGGCAAGTGGCAATCTTGGTAAAGGCAAAACTTGCAAACACTTCCTGGAGAGGTAAAGGAGACGAAGCCGAGCAGATATCAGAACAAACTGGCCACCCACGGTTATACAAGCACTTACGAACAGCACTGCGGCAATAAAAAAAAAACAAATAAATAAACAAACAAACAAATAAATAAATAAATAAAAACCAAACGGTAAAACCTCAACTGCCTTTTTTTAAACAACAGCACTGTGGACGGTCCATCCATAATCACGCACGCACAGTGAGAACATGCACACACGCACGCACACACACGCACACACACACACACCTGAGCAGAAATGAACAGACCCGAACCAGAGTAGAACCATACTCATGGAGAAGGGGCAGTAACTGGAGCCATAAGCAGGGAAAAGTTTAAATTCATGTTCTTATTTTGACGTGAAGATGTTTTCCTGTCTTCTGTGTTTTCACTTCCCATCACCAGTCTGTCCTGTACCCAGAATGCATTGCTTTAGTTCTCCAGTAAACAGTTTGAAATTAGTCATTTATTGCATGCTTTCTTACCAAAGCCCTACCATAAACATAAGAAAATGACCAAGAAGAAGCAGAACTAGCAATCCTCAACAACTGTTTATCACCATGAGCCAAAAGTCTTTTTCAACAAAACACCTCCTCAAACTTCAGCGATATGTGGAACACTATAAAAATAAATTGACGTGCCTCTAGTTGGCAGTATTATGCAAGAGTGGCTCATGTTATGGCTGGAAGGTACTCTGGTGAACTTTGATTCAATTTTGCACTTTATAATTAGCTTCCGCTAAGATTTATTAAACGTAAGCGCCATAGAGCTTGTGCAACTAACTTTTGGATGCCCACCACTGCTAGTTAGCATGGGAATTCTGAAGTTTTTGTGCAGTCAGAACCTAATGATTCAGAACTTTAGTATCAGCATTGTCCAATAACGTTCTTCTGGACTTCTGTTCTGTAGCTGAAGATGTGTAGTTACAAGGTTTAAACTGCATGACTAAAAGTTAGTATCATTATTATTTGGATGTGAACCCCCACCTCACAGACGTAAAAGTCTGACAAATGTGGCTTGACCGATGTTTGCTTTGACAAACATCAGTTATGCATCTGGTTTAGTACCAGGTTCTAATTTTAAAAATGTTTTTATAATCACTATGTAATGTTTAAGTTCTGACTCAGTATCTGTACTTGGTATTAGCAAGTACCCAAACTGAAATACTCATATTTGTAACCGTACTCGGTTTGAGAAAAACTGGTAACAGTGCATCCCTAGTTTAAAAGCACAATATTGAATTTTCTTAAAAATAATTTCAGCACATTTGTTTGTAACAGGAATGTGTAAAGGACACAAAAATAACATTAATTTGAAACATCCCCTTGATTCCTAAACTGCTGTTTGCCCAGCTGTTGTCTTTGTTGGGTAATTTTAGCTTCCTTGGTAACTAAATGCTACTTTATCAGTGCTGCTCCCTTTTGTAACTGTGTCCACTTTTCATTTTGGTGTTTCCTGCGGGTGCAATTATTCTGAAACAGCCCATTCACATCAATAAGAGTAAAACTGCTGCTAAACTAAAAACCAGATTGCAGTGAGAGATTTTCATCTGGATAAAATAACAATTAGGAGGCATTAAAAGGTAAGGGAGAGGAGGACAAAAATGAACTAAATTCCTGAGGTAGAGAACTAAATTCATAAAAGAAGTGTTTAAGTATATTGTCACTAGCTGAATATATTTTATATAAAATTGGGATAAATCATAGATAGTCCTTTCAAAATTAGCATTGCATAGGAAAAAGTGGAATAATAAAGTAGTGTAGTGTTGGCCGTACAACACAGTCAGGATTCAGAGGAATAAGTGTAAATGTAACAGGTCCTAAATTTTTGTAAACAAGCAATAATATCAACCAGCACAGCAACAGTTGTAATAAGTACCCAATTGTCACATTATCATATTTTGTCTCAAAAAGCACAGTTGGTAGTCATTTTAGCCATAAAAGCCCTCCATGTGAGAACCAACAAATTTAATGCCAGTCTGACAAATGGGGTCCTCTTGGCAAAATGATGATTTATTCCTATGAATGAGTAAAATCAAAAAATTTAAAAATATTGAGGGACTGCAACGTTTACACAGTTTCACGTGAGTTATGTTGTTGATGCTCTTAGAATGTGATCTGCTCAACAATCTGCTTCTGGTGTCACGGCTGACGTTTAGAAGATCATTAAACCACAGAAACACTAGTTCTCACATATGATTGCAAATGTACATGCAAACAGTGTATGACCTGCATCATGACCTGATCTTGCATTCACACATATGTAAATTTTATACAAATAATTCCTCATGTAATTCCTAATTATTTAGATTTTTCTTGGAATCTTGGATAAGTGAGTATTTGTTTATTTGTGGTTTTTCTAGACTCCTGTAGAGGGCGCTGCCACTGTGTTGTTGGCTGCTCTCTCACCAGCCCTGGATGGAGACTGCGGAGGAGGCTACTGGGCCAACGGGCACAGGGAGGTGACGACACGACCATCGTTTGACCCCCAGCTTCAGCTCAGCTTATGGAAAATCAGCATTCAGTTGCTGGGCTTACAGTAGTGGAGGCTTTTAAGATGACTAATAAGAATAAACTCATTTGAAAACGTCACCTAAAGGCTCCAAACTTGGGACCATTTTCCTCTATACCTTTTATTTTTTTCATCTATATCTCGCAACAGCCTGTTGTACTGGACTATGATTGGCTGTATTGGTTATGAAGGACTAGTCTTTGTTCTAGAAATTGCAATGAAGGGCTACAGGGGAATGGAAGGGAAGGTATTCGTATTTTTGTTTCTCACTGTGAACAAGCAAACAATATTCAAGTAATATAAGCAAACAGTAATGCAAAATATGCTGTCACAAAACCCCAGGAGTTGTGGGTCCCCCTTCCCATGGGCTCACCACCTGTGGGAGGGGGCGAAGGGGTCGGGTGCAGTGTGTGATGGGTAGTGGTCAAAGGCAGGGACCTAGGCAGACTGATCCTCAGCTACAGAAGCTGGCTCTAGGGACATGAAATGTCACCTCTCTAGTGGAGAAAAACCCTGAGCTGGTGCGTGAGGTTGAAAGGTTCCAGCTAGATATAGTTGGACTCACCTTGATGCATGGCTCTGGCTCTGGAACCAGTATTATAGACAGGAGTTGAACACACTTTTACTCTGGATTTTCTCCTGCTGAGAGACTCCGAGCAGGAGTGGGCATACTTTTTGTCCCCCATCTTGGTGCCTGTACATTGGGCTCACCTTGGTGAACAAGAGGGTAGCCTCCCTCAGCCTACGTGGTGGTGGGGTGGGGYAATGGGGGTTCTGGCTGTCATTTGTGCTTATTTGCCTAACAGCAGTTCAGACTACACACTCTTTTTGGAGTCTTTGGAGGGGTGCTGGAGAGTGCTCCTCATAGGGACTCCCTTCTTTCTGCTGGGGGACTTCAATGCTCACATGGGCATGACAGTGAAACCCTGAGGAGTGTGGTTGGGAGGATTGCACCCCTCGATCTGAACCCGAGTGATGTTTTGTTATTGGACTTCAATGCTCCCCATGGGTTGTCCATAATGAACAAACATAAGCGTGTATGTGCTCTTGACACCAGTACACCTTAGGCTGAAGTTTGATGACTGACTTTGTTGTCATCTCATTTGATCTACAGCTGCATGTCTTGGACATTTGGGTGAAGAGCGGGATAGAGCTATCAACTGACCCACATGTGGTGGTTAGTTGACTCAGATGGTGGAGGAGTATGCCAGTCAGACCTAGCAGGCACAAACCTATTTTGAAGGTCTGCTGGGAATGTCTAGCAGAGTCTCCCGTCAGACTGAGCTTCAACTCCCACTTCCAGGAGAGCTTTTAACACATTTGTGGGGAGGTGGGGTATTTTGAGTCTGAATGGGCCATGTTCCGTGCCTCCATTGTTGATGCTTTAGTGGAGCTGTGGCTGCAAGGTTGTCAGTGCCCGTCATAGTAGCAACTGTCGAACGCGCTGGTGGACACCAACAGTGAGGGATGCTGTCAGGCTGAAGAAAGAGTCCTATCGGGTATTTTTGGCCTGTGGAACCTTGGAAACAGCTGATTGGTACTGGCAGTCCAAGTGGATTGCAGCTCAGTGGTTGCTGAGTCAAAAACTTGGGCATGGGAGGAGTATGGAGAGGTCACGGAGAACAACTTCTGTGTGGCTTTGGTGCAATTCTTGTTGAGGGAGTAGTTCACCACCAACACTGTTTATGGTGGGGATAGTGTACTACTGACCCAGACTTTGGACATTCTAGGTTGGTGAGCAGAATATTTCAAAGACCTCCTCAATTCTACCAGCATCTCTCCCAATGCAGAAAACTTTAGACTTTGGCTTGGACTCTCTCTCTCTCTCTCTGGTGCTGAGGTCACCGAGGTGTTTAAAAAGCTCCTCCGTGGCAATGCCCCAGGGGTGGATGAGATTCACCCAGAGTTACTTAAGGCTGTGGATGTTGTGGTGTTGTGTTGGTTGACACAACTCTGCAATATTGCATGGACATCAGGTTTATTACTCCTGGACTGGCKGACCATGGTGTTGGTCCCCCAATTTAAAATAGGGGACAGTGTTCTAACTACAGGGGGATCACACTCTTAAGCCTCCCTGGAAAGGTCTATTCAGGGGTCCTGGAGAGAAGGGTCTGTTGGATAGATGAATCTCGGATTCATGAAGATCAGTGTGGTTTTTTTCCTGGTCATGGAACACTGGACCAACTCTACACCCTGAGCAGTGTCCTGAATGGTGCATGGAAGTTCCCTCAATCAATCTACATGTGTTTTGTGGACTTGGAAAAGGTTTCCAACCATGTATTTCGGGGAGTCCTGTGTGTGTGTGTGTGTGTGTGTGGGGGGGGGGGGTACTTAGTAAGTTTGGGGTACCAGGCCCTTTTATACGGGCTGTTTGGTTCCTGTCCGGTGCCAAAGCTTGGTCTGCATTGCTGGGAGTAAGTTGGGGCCATTTCTAGTTTCTTTGTTCATAACCTTTATGGACAAAATTTCTAGGTGCAGCCAAGGTGTTGAGGTGATCCATTTTGGTGGTCTTAGGATTGTGTCTCTGCATTTTGGAAATAATGTCCAGATAAGTGTGAAGTGGCCGGGATGAGGATCAGTACCTCCAAATCCGAGACCATTGTCTTGAGCTAGAAAAGGACAGAGTGCCTTCCCCAGGTTGGGGAAGAGGTGCTGCTTCAACACATCAACAGGAGCCAGTTGAGGTGACTTGGACATCTGGTTGGGATTCCTCCTGGACGCCTCCCTGGTGASGTGTTCTGGGCACGTCCCACTGGGAGAAGACCCAGGAAATGCTGGAGGGAGAATGTTTCTCGGCTGGCCTGGGAACAACCTGGGATTCTCCCAGAGGAACTGGCCCTAATGGCTGGGGAGAGGGAAGTCTGGGCCTCTCTGCTTAGGCTGTTGCCCCTGTGACCCGACCCTGGATAAGTAGAAGATAATGGATGGATGGATGGATGGAAACCCCATTCCTAGATTACAGCAGCTGGAAGATGGATGAAGCAGCTGCACAGTAGTCATAAATCAGACATACTTTATTTTTGTAATTTGTCTGATTTTTTGATCACAGCAAAATCCCAAGTTCAGTCAGCATATTTGTGCCACACACAACTCAACAATTACTAAATTTTGTAAAAAGGATGTTTACAGGAAGCAATAAATTGACGAGCTATCCAAATTTAGTTTGTATATGTGGAATAAATAGTTCTAATTTGAAAATTAATATTTAATTTACATAAAAAAAGAAAAAAGTAWCACCAAAACAATACAATCCAGTTCATCTTACTGCTGCAGGGGATTATGACGTGTTCAGCTCTTTTGCGACACATTACTTAATAATTTCTTAAACAGTCTCGCCATACTGCCTGTTTTACTGAGCACTTTATTTTCTCTTTCTTATTCTTTATGTGGTTGCTGCCAAATCCTTGTGCTAACGGCTGGTAGTAGCTGACAATGTGAATTAACTGTGCTCATCAAGTTTTGATGAGTTATAAAGACATTCCATAAGACCTATTTGAAGATCTAGGAAGACATATTGCCTCTACAATTAGGTTTAAATTTAGAAAAAGTCTGCATGAGAGTGGTGTAACATTTGGTTTTGATTTTGGATTCTTCAGATGGCTTCTATTGGCTCAGAAACAAAATAAATGTTTTTTCTTTCTTTAGCCATTATTCTTCTTTTCTTCTGTGTAAACATATTATGTCTGTAAGAAAAGTGAATTCATATGGACCCCAAAATAATAAGGAAATCACTTTCTTTTTAGCCTACAAACTGTGATTGGTTACTTGTTTTCTATGGCTAATGCTGCTTTGCTATTTGGCACTTCTCCCGGTGCATTGTGGGATTGAGATATCCCAGTGGTGAGAATCAAAGGCTAACTACTGAGCTGACACAAACGCACACACACTCGAAAACACTGGAAGCAGTCTATCTAGGAAAAGGCTTATCCAAACATGTACACAGCAAACAAACACGTCTGTCTTCATGCAGGGATAAACTCGCAAATACACACACACCGCGCCATAATGCCATCTCCACTGTGATTAATGCATTTTAACATTGAGGCTCAAAAGTTTTCCTCAATTTGACACATAACTAAATTCCTTGCCAATGAGCATCAATCCTTTATTATTGTTTGCTGTATATGAAGCAATAGCATTACTGCAAGCTGTTGGCACAGAGTCAGGCATTCAGAAGTGTGTGAAACAATACACCAGCCTCAAATAACACAGAAATCTGAAATGTCTCTGTCTCTGTACGTTCAACAAAAAGGTTATTTATTTGCATTTTTTTAGATGGTTTCATTCAAAGTATGTTTTGCTCTGGGGCTTGGTTCCTCTTTGGGATGCAGCTCACAGCAACTCCTTCAGAGGGCCTCGAGGTCAAGCTGAATTGTCTTCTCAAACTTAAAATGAGACATTCTAAAGTCTCAACGATAATAAATATTAGTGTTTTCTGTCCTTTCCTGTTAAGTCACAAGGACAGCTGAAGGAGGTTAAAAGATTTTATTACTCCTCTGGTAAAAAATAAATAAATAAAAACATTTTTCTTGTAGTCCAGCAGATACATATTTGAATGACATGTCATCTTAACCCAGGTACTCGTTAAATATGATGGGATTATATGAAATAAGTTGAAAATTAATTTCCTGAATGCTCCATCGGACAATCTACTGGTTTATTGGACTTCAAGAAGCCCTGATTTCATCCTGCAACACAACTGTGTTTTATTTTTTTATTTATTGGAAAATGTTTTCTACTGTGAAAATGAGATCCACCTAAAGGATTCATTCAATATATTTACTTTTATTTGTTATGTAGATTCAAAGGGCACAGGAAGTCTTTATCATCTTCTATCCTCTAGACATTACAAATGCTAGCAATCTATTTGATTTGATTTATTTATTTAACAGGAAATATTACTAAAAATCAAGCCTGACTCAGCATAATTGCTGTTTTACAGCAGGTTCCTGTTCTGCAGCACATAAAACACTCAGAATTACAGCATCACAATCACWTRATTATACACCATAGACACAAAGACAAACAAGCATACCAAATTTCAAAAAGGCAGCATCTAGCACAGTAAAATTCAATTTGGGGTTTTAAGTCTTGAGTGGCAGACTTTAGTCGACATAAGAAAATTATCTATATCTGTTTAGGTGTTTTGTAAAGTGCATGATGTCACTCCCTTTGGTACTTTTCAAGGTCACTGCAATTGGGAGCAGATCAGTTTTAGGAATTTTGTTTGTTCCACATTTTCTAGAACAGGTGCTTTGGAAATACAGTGYCATAACCCTCCTGGGTGCTCATCAGATCAGTTTTGTATTTTGATTTTCCTGWAAATTGATCAGGTGAGTCAACTACTTGTTGCTGTTTGATGAACCCAGACTGAACCAAATACATTTAATTTCATTTAAACAGCGTACTTCTTATGCTTAGATAAAATACAGAACTCAGTTGTATTTGACAGAAGAATACTCCTCTCCCCKATACTTGGTTTTTCATAATCTTTTMGWCTACACATAAAATGTTTAATCCAAGAAAACGTCTCAACAGTTTTAAAAAGTTTGATTAGACCAAATGAACAATTTAAAAACATATGGAGACAATTCAGATAGATGTCTTCATTTAATTAAACTTTTTAGATCAAGGCTTGAGACAAACACAGTAAACTGTTGAGTCTTGACACAAAAAACAGCTAATGTGACCACTTTATTTACAGATAATACCCTGATTATCACTGGCAACTCTTGATTTGATACAAATTAAGCCCAGAGGAAAAATTACAATTCATGCTTTGGTGATTTTAATTGCTTCTAATTTCCACAGCTAGTATTAGCAGCTTCACTTGAGTAAAAGTTTCTGAAAAGGCCATTTAGCATTTAAAGAAACCATTGGTTTGATGTTTCTACGTATTAGTATTTTTGAGAGAATCGACTCTAAATGCCAGCAATATTTAAGAGTTTTGTTTGTTTGTTTGTTTGTTTTTGGTGTGTGTGCTTAAATGTGTGTTTCTCTTAAGCTTCTGTAAGGTGCTGGGTAAAAAAGCTATCCCGGTCAAATGCAAACACCAGCTTACTACTCAGCAGTGCTCAAATGTGGAGTGCAAGGCTACAACGTGTGCTACATCCCGTCAAAGAGCTATCTTTTTTTTCAGTTCAGCTGTTGAAGTAGATGTAATTGAGCAAGAAATGGTGAGAGGGAAATTTTTATATTGTCTCTATCTGAGCACAAGGTTATCCAAAGAGAACAACGTTGTCGTGTTGGTGTGCAGAGGTGTTTTACACAGATGGGATTACAGTGAGCTTTCTGAACTTGAACTGCAAACATAGTAAATGAGCTAAAACAGCTCAGTTAACTGTCGGTGATGTTTTTTATGTGTTTTACTAGTATTTCTTTTAAATCATTCAAGACCAGTGGAAATGCGGAAAGACTGAAAATGCTTGAATAGCCATTCCTCTGACTGACTTGGGATTACATTTATATTAAATGTGCCGGTCCCATGTTTTGCAAAATCACAAAATGTGTATATGTATGTACATGAAGAGTTGAAATAAAGAAAATATATATCCAGGGGTAACCAAATGAACTGAGTCTTTACTCTGGTAGTATTCCAATTTAAACGAAAATGCATTCAGACGTTTTTTTGATGCGTACTAACTCCTGTACCCCTTTGAACTTAAGTCCATAGGGAACAAAAAMATACATTTTTTTCTCAGCACAGATACATTGTAATCACTCAGTTCTTTAGGACCTCTGAGAATTTATGAAAAAGTGTATAATATTTTTACTTTTTCTCATTATTTTCTTGTTAAAATGCACATCTTATTGCTTTTGCTGTGCCTAAACAGAACCCCTCCCTCTTCTATGTAACTGTGAAATTTTTCATGTAGAAATGACTTTGTAGAAATTGTGATACAGTCTTGTCCCGTGCATTGCTGTATGTTTTTTTTTTTTTTTTGTTTTTTTCTTAAAAGCAATGGGGTTATGAGTGAAGTGTGTGTGAGTGAGAACATGTGTGTGTTTTAGGTAAAAAATAAAATAAAATTGATGTCAATGTTATTTTTTTTTCTTGTCAACGGTTGTAACATTCCAGCAGCAGCCACCAACTTTTTTTTAAAATTATATTTTTATTTCCTAAAGCCTCTCAATAAACATATCATTGTGCCACTTGCTCTCCATCCTTTATGCACTGGCTCAGAGAGAATATGTCAACCTGATTATTCTCACTTTGAGACAGCCTGCCTCAAGCGATGTCTGAACTTTTGAGACATTCTCAGATCCCTCAGTGAAACCTACACACAGGCATGTTTCATTTTTCACTACAAAAACTACACAAAAATATAACTGATTTCCCTACATTTCCATTTACTATAAGACAAACATCAACAATCAGTTAAATATGAATATCCTTACTTGTATCTGCAAATAGAAGAACATGTTCACAAATATCGAAACATATAATAAAATTATATTTAACATTAATTTGACACATATGAATGGACAAAACCATTTATAATTTAAGGCCCAACTTTCCTTCCTTCCAGGAATATTTAGTTGTGGCTAGTGAGCCAATCAGCCTCCAGGTAGTGATTGCAGTTTAAGCGTGCGCGATACCCACAACTAATCTATAAAAGCTGATTAAGTTACATCCATTTTTTGTGTGTATTTAGGTTTGTTTGATGTGGTAGCCATGTTGAGATGGATTAGCTCCAAAAGTTATTCAGCTGTATATCAGGGATGTGAAACCCATTTCCACTGTGGGCAATGTGAGCAATATAGTGACTCTCAAATTGTAATTAACTTGTTTCATGTTTAACTTCAACTAAACACAAAACCTTAAGTTCCTCGTCTCATTGCTACAGCTTAGCACTGCTAACAATAACTGAGCTCTATGTGGTATTTCCTACATAGAAACAGCATTTTAAAAAATCCTAAACACTGAAAAGTACTATTTGTATGATGGACTAAATGTGAAACAAATAATACAGAAATACTAAAAAGTAAAAGTAGGTTATGAGTCATCAGGACTACCACAGAACAGACAGGAGACAGTGTTCCTACAAAATCAGGAGCCGGAGAGAAGGAAAAATCATTAACAGGCCCTGGCACATGTGTGGTTATCCCAACTCAGGATAACACAAGCAGGACTCTAGCCAGCCAGTGGATGAAAAGAAGGACCCCTAACCCAGACCCAGACCAGTGGTCGTTCCAAATTTTGTGAAAAGTTTCAGAGAAACAGAAATTTACTCTCCAAACATGATGTGCCAGTGGCTTTCAAACCCCAAAACACATTACAAGTAGAGCAATGTTGTTTATGTTGTTAAGTTCCTGGAGGATTGTGACTAATTGTACAGGAAACTAAGCAGCCACTGTTCAATAGAATGGCCCAACACAGYCGAGCTTCATCATCAGGCCAGGTGTCTACAGTTCACACTCCTCRACAGGCTAGTGGTRTCTCTCTCAGGGATGACWATGTTCTCKTCCTTGATYGAGAGGAATMTTGTTTTGAAATAAGAGTAAAGGAKGCCAGTTTTGTGAAGAGAAACCYTGCATTGTTAAACAAGGGTGGAGGCCTCCATGTCCGGTTGTCCCCCTCTTACAATGCTGTTATTGCAAGTATGACTTAGCCCTCTTTGAACAATASGTGATAATCAGGGTC